TTCCCGCATCCTACTCCACTTTCCCCATAGGTGGCAACTTGCCCTGTTCTGTTCTATTACGTGTTTTTTTGTGAGTGTTCTTTAAAAGTGTGTATTGTTTTTAGGGACTTTTTTTCATTTGAAGTATAATTGACATAAACATATTGAAAGTGTACAGTGTGACATGTGCACACCTGTAAAACCATTACAGTGAAGATAACATTCTCCTCCTGCCTCTTTGTAACCCTCGTGTCCCTCTCCCTTGCTGAGTAATCAGCGATCTCCTTTCTGTCTCCATAGCTTGGTTGGCATTTCCTGGAATGTTATATTAATAGTGCTGTTTTTGTCTGGCTTTCGCTCAGCATCCTTATCTTGAGTTCACGCTTGTGTTATGTGTGTTAGTAGCTCGTAACTCTTCCTGCCGAGTAGTGTCCCTCTGAATGGACGTGTTTACACGTATGGACAGGTCCTTGTGTGGACTGTCGCCATTTCTCTAGAGGAGACGCCTGGGAGAGGACGGGCAGGCCCCTGATAGGAGACTGCCAGACTGCTTTCCAGGGTGCCCGTGTCATTTCAGTATCCCCAGAGGAGTGTGGAGGGCATGGTGGGTTTTTTTAATGCAAACACTCTAGTAGGTTTCAGTTTACATTTCCATGGTGACTAAAGGTGTTGAGCCTCTCTGGTAAAGTGTTTGCTCAAATTGGGGTGGGGGGGTGCATGTATTTTTAATTGGTATAAATTCTGTTGTCTTACATATCTCAGTGTTTGTAAGCAAAATGTGTTTTTAACATCCACTTGTGTTGTTCATCTAACCCTAGGGTTGGCAAACTGAGGCCTGTGGCTTGTTTTCTCTGCAGTCTGTAAACTGAGAATGTTCTGAGCATTATTAAAGGGTTAGTGAAAAAAGATGAGACAGAGCTGCGTAGCCCCCAGGGCCTGAAATGGTCAGTCTCTGGCCCTTTACAGAAAAGTGTGCCAGCTCCTGACCTGCTCAGCTGCACCCCGACTGTTGCCACCCCCATGCATGCCGCCCTCCAGCCCTGGTAGCAGGCTGCCCCCAGCTCACAACAGCAGTCATGCTGTGACGCAAAGCTCCTTACCCGTGGATGGCTGTGAACACACACTTGGAATCTGTGCCCAGGGGCGGGATTGTCGGGTCATAGAAGGCATTTGCGTGCCCGCACTGCGGGCACCTGTGCTATCTCCCTCACCCCCCAGCACTTGGCCTTGTCCACTTTTCTGCTTTTGCAAATCAGTGGTTGGAAAGTGCTGCGGTGTGTTCATTTGGGTTTTTTTCCAGTTCACTTGAGGTATCTGTGGCTGGGTTCCTTGCGCTCTCAGATTTCCTCTTTGTAGGTTGCCCATTAATAACACCTGCCTGTGTTTTATTGGGGTTGCTATGGTCTTGTTGGTTTGCGGGGCCTCTTTGTATATTTTAATGTGGAACACTGCTGGTTTTGAACATTACAGATCCATCTGCCTGCTAGACTTCCCATTTGCTCATCACCTTTCCTTTAATGCACAGTAATGTGTTTTTGGCTCATGGTTTGTGTTTTGAAATTTTGTTGAAGAAGTCGTTAAATGTGCTGCGTTCGTTTCTCCTCACTTTGTAGCTCTCCTGTTCAGAGATCCACGTCTGATGCCTCAGTACTACACCTCATTGGTGTGGGTGGATGGGGAGAAGGTGCTATTTTTCTCTGTTCTGAGCCCAGGGTTCCCAGCCATGCGTTGAAATGCAAGCCAACTCTCCTTTTCTTGTGGATTTGCGGTGCCACGTGTGTCTGTGTGTGTGGTGTTCCAGCAGCCCACGCCAGTCTGCCCTCTTGGCAAGAACGGGAAGCCCCTCACTTACTCTGCATCTGTCTCCCCCAGAGACCCATAAAAGCTTGTTACCACGAGAGTGCTAAAGGCAGGATTCTCACTGATGATTTTATTTCATCTAAAGGCTCAGGCTCCCAGAACAAAAATACCATGAACTTGGTGATTTACATAATAGACATTTATTTTCTTACAATTTTGGATGACGGAAAGAAAGCCCACGATGAACTGTTCGTCTGAGCTGGCTGATTCAGTTTCTTGTGAGGGCCCTCTTCCTGGCTTGCAGATGGCAGCCTTCTGGCTGTGTGCTCAGCAGTGGCAGGAGAGAGCGAGCCCTGCCCTGGGGGCTCTGTTATAAGGACACTAATCCCATTCATCAAGGCCCAGCCCTCACACCTAGTCACCTCCCAAAGATTAGGGTTTCAGCATGTGAACTTGAGGGGGGACACAAACATTCAGCTCATAACAGTGGTCTTTTTTGTCTTTAACCCGCCCTTTTTTTCTCCTCAAACGTTTTTGTAAAATCTTGTCCAGTTGCCTCATGGTAGTTGTATTAGTTTGCAGTAAAGTACCACAGAGTAGATGTCTTAGAACAACGCAAGTGTGTTGTCTCACAGCTCTGAGTGGCCAGGAGTCAAATCCATGCCTCTCTCCGAACTTCTCGTGGCCTCAGGTGTTCTTTGGCTGGTAGGGGCGTTGCTCTAGTCCCGTGACCGGCTTCTCCACAGGAGCCTTCACGTCATCTTCCCTCTGTGTGTGTTCATCTCTGTCCAGATATCCCCTTTTTATAAGGATGCTAGCTGTGTTGGATTACGACCCATTTGAATGACCTCATTTTAACTCGATGACCTCCATAAAGGCCCTGTCTCCAAATAAGGTCAGATTCTGAGGTCCTGGGGTGAGGACTCCAGCAAGTCTTGAAGGGGCACAGTGCAACCTGTAGCAGTAGCAGGTAGCAGGTTTTTGTGAACACAAGTGGGTTCTCAGTTTCTTCAGTGCTCACCTGTGAGCTTGTTGAGACCAGGTCCTGTGTCTTGTGTGTCTCTGTATCCCTAGTACCCCCCTTTGCCAGGCCCTCAGTGGAGGGGCCCCCGTGTGTGTAGGATGGATGCGTTACAGAGATTCACGCTAATTGCAGCTCCGTCTTGGTGATGCTTCCACACCAGTGCCCACGCCGTAGCTGCATTCTTTTTCCTGCCTCACAGGACCTACTTTATCTACTTGGTCTCCCGTCCCGTTGGTGGACATGCAGCTGTTTCCTGTCTTTTGCTGCAGTGAATTCTCTCAGGTGTGCAAGGTAACTAGAGGATAAATTCTTCTTCTTCTTCTTTTTTTGTAGTTTTTATTTATTTTTATTGAAATATATTAATAATTGACTTAACAGTGTTGTGTTTCAGGTGTACAGCAAAGTGATTCAGTTACGCATACACACATACACACATATTCTTTTTCAGATTCTTTTCCCTTGTAGGGTATTACACAATATTGAGTAGAGTTTCCTGTGCTCTACAGTAGGTCCTTGTTGGTTTTCTCTTTTATGTATAGTAGTGTGCATATTTTAATCCCACACTCCTAATTTATTTCCCCCCCCCTGCCTTGGTAACCATAGGTTGTTCTCTGTGTCTGTGGGTCTGTTTCTGTTTTGTGTGTAAAGTTCATGTGTATCATTTTTCTTAGATTTCACAAATAAATAATACATAATATTTGTCTTTTTTTGACTTCACTTAGTATAATAATCTCTGGGTCCATCCATGGCACTCTTTCATTGTTTTTATGTCTGAGTAGTGTTCCATTGTATATATGTACCGCATCTTCTTTATCCATTCCTCTGTTGATGGACACTTAGGTTGCTTCCGTGTCCTGGCTGTTGTAAGGAGTGCTGTGGTGAACACTGGGGTGTGTGTACCTTTTAGAATTAGAGTTTTCTCCTTATATATGCCCAGGAGTGGGATTGTAGGATCATATGGTAGCTCTAGTTTTAGTTTTTTGTGGAACCTCCACAAACTGGCTGCACCAGTTTACATCCCTACCAACAGTGTAGGAGAGGGGTCCCTTTTCTCCACAGCCTCTCCAGCATTTATTACTTGTAGACGTTTTGATGATGGCCGTTCTGACCGGCGTGAGGTGGTACCTCATTGTACTTCTGATTTGCATTTCTCTAATAATTACCGATGTTGAGCATCTTTTCATGTGCCTTTGGGCTGTTTGTATGTCTTCTTTGAAGAAATGTCTATTTAGATCTTCTACCTATTTTTTGATTTGGTTTTTTTTATGTTGAGTTTTATGAGCTGTTTGTATATTTTGGAGATTAATCCCTTGTTGGTTGCATCATTTACAAATATTTTCTCCATTTTGTAGGTTGTCTTTTTGTTCATGGTTCCTTTATTTTTGTTTTTGTTTCCATTACTCTAGGAGATGGATCCAAAAATATATTGCTGTGATTTATGTCAGAAAGTGTTCTGCCTATGTTTTCCTCTGAGAGTTTTATAGTATCGCGTCTTGCACTTAGATCTCTAATCCAGAGGGTAAATTCTTGGAAGTGCTAATTGCTCAGGCAAAAGCACATACGTCATAAATTGTGATGAGCATCACTAAAATAAAGTTAGTAGAGGGAATTCCCTAGCGGTCCAGTGGTTAGGACTCCATGCTTTCACTGCCGAGGGCGTGGGTTCGATCCTTGGTCGGGGAACCAAGATCCTGCAAGCTGCGCCGTGCGGCCAAAAATTTAAAAGAATAAATAAAATAAACTTGGTAGAGGTTATGCCCAGTGAAGTTCTTGTCAGTGTGTGGTTGCCTGCTCCCTGGGAGGTGTTCTCGCTCCTGCCAGACGCTGTTCCGAGTGCCGAACCCCCAGATGACTGCAGCCACTGCTGCTAACGCACCCCCAGGCTGTCCTGGGAGCGCTGACAGATTCGGGGTTCGGCCTGAGATGGTTGGACTCAGGAGCGTGTGCCACAAAGCCCTCCGCCATCATGCCCGTCCTCCCAGGCGGGCCAGCAGGGGCCACCCGGCTCCGCCCTGCCCATCCCTGAAGTGGGAATTGTACCTCCTCCTCCGTTTATTTTGCATTTCTCTTATGTTGAATGAGGCTGAGCATCCTTTGCATGTTTTAAAGTGTTAAATCATTTTTCTAGTGGTAAACTTTTAAAAAATTGACATGTAAGATCGATCTCTATATATGTGTGTTTGTTCTTTATATATATAGACATCTATAAAATATACACACTCATATATGTGTGCATTTTTTTTAATTGCCTGTGATAGGAGTTGCAAAGTATTTTTTTCACCCAGTTTGCCATTTCTCTTGATTTAATTTAGGGGATTTGGAGCTTTTTGGTGGTTTTCCATGGGAAACATACTTAAGTAGTAAAATTCCAGTGCATGTCTTTTGTGGCTCCTTGGTTTAGAATCGTAACTACAGAGGCTTCTTCCTTCGCAGTCGTACAAAAGAGAGACTTCTGTGGTTTCTCCTGTGCTGTTACAGTCTCATTTCTCAAATTGAAATCTGATGCATTTGAAGTTTATCTGGGAATAAAGTGAGAGGTAGGGAACGTATTTAATCACGTGGCATTTGTAATTTTAATGTGTGGTAAAATCGATCTTTCTCTTGTTACCTTAAAAAAAATTTTTTTCTTATTTTTGTTTATTGCTTTTCTCATAGGAAGTTTAGAATCAGATTGTCCAGTTCTGTGAAGAAAATATTTCTGCAACTTGAGTGGGGTCACCCTAGACTTACGAGGGAAAGTGTCCGTCTTTATGGTATTGTCATAAAGATGACAATACACCTTGTCAATACACCGTAAAGATGACATCCATACACCTTGTCATCCATTCAGGCATTTTGGGGGGCTCCTTGCCACTGTAATGCATCCTTAGAGATTTAGTGGCGTCTTGAGTCTGTTTTGAGGTGTGGTCTTTTTATTGATTTTGTTACCTCTCGTTGTCTTGCTGCGTCTTGAACTCATTTCTCTGCTTTATGTCCTTATTTGAGAGAGTTTAAAAATTCATGGCGCTCTACCTGGTCATAAACATCGTGTGCTCAGTAGAGGCGTGTCTAGCGGTTATTGGTGTTTTCTGTCCTGTCCTCTTTCCGTTTGACTCTCGGTTCCTTGTCTGCTGGTTCCTCCCCTATTGTGACTCCTCTGGACTGAAGCACATGCTTCCTGGCCCAGCTTTTACAGGAGCTCCGTGTCAGGGAGGGCCAGAGCCGTGTTCCAGGTGACAGGGACCATCCCTTGGACACAGGCCTGTCCTTGCCGGCCCACTGCCAGGCTGCCCCCTCCAGAGACAGCTCAGCTGTGCTTCCTGGGCACCCGGACTTCTGACATCTGGGAACATGGTGCCCAGCCAGGGCCAGGGACACTCCTGCCTCCAGACAGGAGCCCAGGTGTGACGCCAACTTTGGAGACGTCTGCGGGCTTTGGCTAAGCTTGCCTTATGGCCCCCTGTTTTTTTCCTCATACAGTTTCTCAAACTGAGATATTCACATAGGATTCATTCTTTCAAAGTGTACAAATCAGTGGTTATGGTACATCACAGTGCTGTGCAGTCATTGCCACTACCTGATACCAGGACGTTTTCGTCTCTCTGAGAAGGAAACCCCTAGCTCACTGGCAGCCACTCCCTGTCCCCACTCCAGCCCCAGGACCACCGTCCCACCTCCCGGGCCTGTGGGTGACCTGTCCTGGACGTTCCACGCGCACAGAGCCATCCGGCGTGTGCTCTCTCAGGTCTGGCTGCTTTCACAGAGCTTCCTGTTTTCACGGTTCATCACGTTGTCACGTCGTGTGTCTTTTTATTGCCAAATAATGTTTCGTTGTATAGATAAACCACATTTTGGTCATCCATTCATCAGATGATGGCCTTGGAATTGCTTCCACTTTTGGGTTGTTACCAATACAGCCAGCCATTCACGTGTGAGTTTTTGGGTAGACATACGTTTTCAGTTCTTTGGGGTCTGTACCTGGGAGTGGAGTTGTTAGCTCACGTGGTTATCTGTTTGTCATTTTTCTTTTAAATTTTGGCCGTGCGGCCTTGTGGATCTCAGTTCCCCGACCAGGGGTTGAACCCGTGCCTCAGCTGTGTGAGCACAGAGTCCTAACCACTGGGCCACCAGGGAGCTGCCTGTTTGTCTTTCTGGGGAAGCGCCGGATGGCTTCTCTAATGGCCGCACCATCTTACAGCCTGCGCCCTGCTCCAGGCAGCGTCAGAGGGCTCCAGGTGCCCTGCCCCTTGGCCCTCTGCAGTTCTGGGCTCGGGCGTGGGAGGGAGCTCCTCCTGCTGGGCCACCTCAGTTCCATTTGCAGGCTCCCCCTCCCCAGCACCTGGGCGTCCCCTCACGCGCAGTGTGTGTGTGTCTCTGGTTCCTAACGCTTTGGGGTGACTGCCGAGGGCGCAGCCTGCCATCTGGGTGGAGCCACTTAGTTTGAGACTTAGGTATGGGGGGGGCTTCTTTGTTATGTTTTTTACATAACTTTAGTTTGCCAGGGACACGGTTTCACTCTTTAACTCATAGTAAGTGACAGATAAAATTGTTTTTCATTTCGTGCCTTCTGTTTTTGTTTTTGCGGTACACCGGCTTCTCACCGTTGGCCTTTTGTTTTTAATGTAGGAAAGAGTTGATAGCTCAGCTGAATACAGGGGGGAAGGTGGTAGACGGGCTCATTCTTCTAAAACATCAAAAAAGCCCCCAGCACAAATGTTAAAAAATAAATAAGCGTTTGCCATTTTTGCCACACGTCAAAAGAACTTATTTCTATGTATTTCAAGAGACAGCCTTTTAGAGTTGGGTCAGCTGGCACCTGGCCCTGTGCTGGGCCAAGGGGAGGCGCCCAGCCTCAGGCGGGAATGCCACAGCCTTGACGCTTCGACCTCGGCTGCGCGTGCGCCTGGGGGGGATGCGGGGCTCAGCCAGGCATTCTGTCTGGACCACCGCTGGAGGCAGGCGGGCCGGGGCTTCCGGGGCAGGTGAGGGGATCCTGATTCCTGAGGGTGGTGGGAAGCTGGGCATGAGGGTTAAGCCAGAGCCTGAGGGGATGGATGGGTCAGCGCAGGCGAGGGGGAGCTGCCAGGTGAGGGGTGACAGGTGGACCAGGAGCTTGGGTGGGAGAGGGCAGGTGCGAGGGGGGCCGTATTCAGGCTTGGGCCCGCGTCTGGGCCTTAAGCAGCGGTGACCGCGGGCCGCTGTGGCCACTCGCAGCTGTGGGAGGAAGCGGCACCTCGAGCGCAGCAGACACGCCGGCCACGGCCTGTCCCCGGAGCCAGGTCCCCCAGGTCCTCGAGGGGGGGGACCGGCCTCCTGCGGGCTCTCCTCTGTCGTGTGAGCCCGTCACATGGCCATGGGGCGTGCGGGGACTTGCCCCTGTTCTCCCGGCGGCCTTTTGTACCCAGTCCCTTCCCAGCCGCCGCAGGTGCCGAGCCGCGGCGTTGGCCTGCCCACCCCGGTGCTCCCCACACCCCAGACGCCCCAGTGGCAGGTTCCCCAGCAGGGGGCGGGAACGGCCCCCCGTCTTGGGCGGCCCTTCTGTTTGCCGGGCCGCTGCACCCGGAGGCGGTGGGGAGATGCGGGGGCAGCCGGCGAGGTGTGGGCATGCGGCGGGGCGGGGGGGGGGGGGCTCTCCTGAGGGCGGGACCGGCATGGGGGCGGTGGCTGAAGAGACTGGGTCCCGCCCCGTGCGCGCAGAAGCTCCGGCGGGCTTGAAGGGGGCTCCTTCCTGTGTCTGAACGAGCAAAGGTGCGCCCCACAGACCTGAGCCAGGGGTGGCAGGGTGGGGTCGGCGACAAGGACTGCCATCTCTCCTCTCCCGGCAGATGAAGGGTGCCCTCACAGAGATCATCCAGCTCGCCACCCTGGACTCAGACCCCTGGGTTCTCATGGTGGCCGACATTCTGAAGTCCTTTCCTGACACCGGATCTCTTAACCTTGACCTCGAAGAGCAGAATCCCAACGTTCAAGATATTTTAGGAGAACTTAGAGAAAAGGGTAGGTTGGGTGTGTTTGCTTTACGCTGGGCGGAGGGAGATGGGTCTTCCTTTAAACCCTCTTTTGTAACATGAGTTTGACTTCGAGAGTGTCGCACGCTGTGCTGTGTCGTGCTGGCTGTATCCGTGCACCCCTGCCCCCGGCGCTGCTGGCTGGCTTTTGGCCAGTCTTTGACAGGAGCAGCCCAGAGGCTCCCTCCTCACTGTACGCGCTCTATCTTTCACATTCACGCACCCCTCTCCGCACTCAGCTCCATGAGGGCACGGGCTCTGCCCACTCAGAGCCTAGAACATTCCCTGGCACGGAGTAGATGCTCATAACTGTGTGTTGAAAATATCAGCAGTTTACTTGTCTGGAACACGAACTGAAAACCACTTAGAACATGTAAAGATGGGAAGGTCTGTTCCTCCCTGAATTCCTCTCCTAGTTTGGAGAATTGGAACTGCAGCCCTTTAAAGATGGAACCTGTGCCCCTGCGGTCCCGCAGGGGCGGTGGCCTGGCCGTCCCCAGGGGTGGCTGCCAGTGCCTCCTCTTAACTGTGAGATGATCGCTCTTACTCGGTAGGCTTTCGCTTGACTTGTAACTGCCCACAAGCTACATGGATGCTTCCAGAGCATTGGAACGCAAACCCAAGATGTTTCTGTCCTGGTGATTAGCTTGATGAGGGTCCAGACAGGTCCACGCCCTCCTGGGTGTCCTCTCTCTGGTGGGAGGGGCCTGCTCTGTCTTCTGCCCAGGGGCTTCTGGGCGTGCCTCCCGGGGGCAGGAAGAACAGCGGTGGCGCTGGTCTGTGCTCCCCACCCAGGGCCTTCTCCCGAGCTCTAACTGCCTGGTGAACCCACAGACCTGGGGAACGTGCCTGGGTGCTTCTTGTGGGGGCCAGGATTCAGGGGGTCCAGGAGAAACCATCCGCGGGGGCCGTGGGGACTGAGGGGGAACCCGGGATGGCCCCGGGCTTCCCCTTCCTACGGCGCTTGCTCTAGGGGTGCACAGAGCCCCTTCCAAACGTAGCTGATGGACATCTGGGGTGGGGCCGGGTGCTTCTGCCTTTAAAAAGCCCCACAGGGATTCTGCTGAGCCCTCCTGTCCTGCCCTTGACCTTTGGCCCAGGTTGGTGGCCTTGACTGCTGGCCTGTGGCAGGCAGGCAGTGGATACTTGTTTTCTGTTCTGAGATCGAAGCAGAAGCTCCACTGCTATAAACAGGAAACTGTGCGTTTTCACGTTAGCGGTGAAAATCGGGCCTGCGTAAGGGAAATGCACCTCCTAACATGTTGGTTCTCGAACGAGCAGTGAACGAGTGTGAGGCGTCGGCCATGCTGCCGCTGGAGTGCCAGTACTTGAATAAAAACGCCCTGACGACCCTCGCTGGGCCCCTCACTCCCCCAGTGAAACATTTTCAGTTGAAAAGGAAGCCGAAGAGTGCCACGCTGAGGGCCGAGCTCCTGCAGAAATGTGAGTCCCGCTGTCGGCACGCGGGTGTGGGGCAGGTGCACCTGGCCTAGGGCGCACGGGGACTCAGTGCCCGCTGTCGGCACGCGGGTGTGGGGCGGGTGCGCCTGGCCTAGGAGGCACTGGGACTCAGTGCCCGCTGTCGGCACGCGGGTGTGGGGCGGGTGCGCCTGGCCTAGGGCGCACTGGGACTCGTCGGGACCCTCCTCAGCGGGGGCTGCCTTGCCTGGCCTGGAAGGTCCAGCAGATTTGGGAAAACTGACTGCCGAGCAAATCATGCTTTTGTCCTATGTCTGTAGTTTTTATTTTTAGGTTTCTTTTAGGTTTTATGGTACCTAACCGTCTTTTAAAGACAGAGTTCTACGTAGTTTTTTTCTTTTTTTATTAGAAATTTATTGATTGCTACGCTGAACTGTGTGTTCTAAAAATCTACTTTAGAAACTTCCGAATTTTCAGGTTAAAGTATTTGTAATCTTTGTTCCAAAAATGAAATCTACCAACTGAGTCACACGGGTGATGAGACAGGCAGCCTGGAAGAGATTGGAGAGGCTGCGTCCTAACTCCTGTAGCCCTGCCTCATTCTTGCAGATGATCTCAATTTGACTTTAAAGATGTTTGGTCATTTTATTCATGTTTTTTTAAGTAGTGGTTTCTAAAATGTACATGGAAGATACTTGCTCGGAAAAAGGCCAGGAAATGGATTCCTTTGACTGGTAGCAGAACTTTTATTGCAAGTGGTTATGGTGTTGGTATTAATAACCCGTATAAATGCCCCGTTTTCAAAGAATCCCAATAAAACACAGCAGCCATCGTGACTCTCGGTTCCAGATGGACAGCGTCCTGGGGTCAGCACTGCGCTGTGGCTTCATGGAGCTGGCAGCGCGCGGCCCGGGCCCCCAGCCCCCTGGGCAGCTCCCAGGCCCCTCCGTGCGGTCAGCAGTGGCACCTGCCCCCAGCCCCCCATGGCAGAACCTGGTGCCGGGTGGGCGTGGGGCTCCCGTCCCTCCCCGAGCTTGTTTCCTGCCTCGCGTTGATGCTTCTGTGAAGGGAAGGGTGAGGTTGTGCCAGGCGACCACCCACCAGTGAGGACGCTTCATCGGGGCCCCTCCCGCCCCCCCACCCCGGGAGGTGCAGCCGCCAGAGCCCTACTTGCTGCAAGTGTAGTTCTCTACACCAGGCGTCCCCAACCCCGGGGCCATGGACCGGGACCGCGGGCTGTTAGGAACCGGGCTGCGCAGCAGGAGGTGAGCAGCGGGCAAAGGAGCGAGCGAAGCTTCATCTGCCGCTCCCCGCCGCTCGCATTACCTCCTGAACCATCCCCTGCCAACCCCAGTACGAGGAAAAGTTGTCTTCCACGAAACCGAAACCGGTCCCTGGTGCCAAAAAGGTTGGGGACCGCTGCCCTACACAGAAAGCGTAGTTGTAACGTTTGAAAGCAGACGAGCGAGCGTCTGTGCTCCAGTCCTTGCAACTCGACCTTCTTTGTAAATCCCACGGATGGAGGCGCTGTCGTCGGTGGGCGCTGACGCAGGCCACCTTGTCTTACAGCCACCGAGACCGCCCAGCAGCTGAAGAGGAGTGCGGGGGTGCCCTTCCATGCCAAGGGCCGGGGGCTGCTGCGGAAGATGGACACCACGAGTAAGGCCGGGCCGCTGCGGGGTCGGAGGGGAGGGCTCGCCCTTCCTCGGGAGCTCAGTCGTTGAACTTTGACCTGACTGGGCCACGGGCCCTGCGGTGCTGCCGGCTCTGTTGTGTGAAATGAGGGGGTCTCTTCCGCTTACGGAGGGTCCGGAAGGCTCCGCCTGAGATGAGGAAAGACCGGGATTGGAGGGAGACGCTCAGTCTCGGTTCTCGCTCGTCCTTATGGCCGTGGAGGGCATGGGCCGCCGCCTCCGCCCCAGGTCCTGCCGCCTGTGGCCCCGTGCCGGCCCCAGGTTCTCCGTGGGGCGAGGGCTCTACAAGCTCGAGGCTGACCGGGCCGCCGTCGTGTCGTCGGGTCTGCGCCCTCGTCCCTCCCTCGGGGCCGGAGCGCACCTCTTGCTCCCTGCCCACCCCACGCTGCCCAGGCCCAGGGCCGACCGGACAGGGCAGGTGGGTCGGTGAGAGCAGCAGCCAGGCTGCCACGGGAGCCTGAGGGGCTCGTGGGGGTCCTCCCTGCGGGGCCCACAGCCCACAGCACTCAGGTGGGAGCTGCCGTCTTGGTGTCGGCCGACTCAGCACTGTTGGGGGGGGCCCAGCCCCGTCTCCTCAGGGCCGGCTGTTGCCTTGAGTGGGGCCCTCACTGTAATGTCCCTGCCTGCCCCCCACGTGCCAGTCCCCCTGACAAAGCTCCCCTCACCTTCCTTCCCACACTCCGGCCGGGCGCCCCGACCCAGCGTGCCCACGGTGCGGTTCAGGGGTGCTTCCTGCTTCCCTGCCCTGTCCCATTGGCCGTGCCAAGGGGCCACCTGTGCACCGGGCCTGGGACGCCGTACATGATCTTGGTGTGAGTCAGCCCTGGTGTCTGCTCGCTGAGCACTGGGGCGGGGCCCAGTGGCAGGAATGGGGAGGCACTGGATGCCTGGGGAAGGGGCCAGGCCCCCTTCAGAAGGAGCCGTTCCTCATGTGTCAGGTGCCTTCCCCTTGAGAGAGATGAGGGGCCGGGCCCAGGGGAAGAGGGAGGGTGATTCTGGCTGCAGCATGGGGCCTCTAGCCTGTAACACATCTGTTAACCCCGAGGTGCAAGAAAGAAGTGGAAGCTGAGAGTCCTGTCTGTGGTGATAAAGGACTGGGTGTGGCGTCTCTGTTGGTTTGGCATCTTGGGCAGAGACGTCAGTTTGGCTGTGGTGTCGCTGGTTGCCACGGCGTGCTCTTCTGGGCAGGCCGACCCGATGCCCCGGTGCTTGGGCACGGGGAGGTGCCCCTGGCACCTGCCCTCGCGGAGGCGCAGCACTTCTGGGGGAGCACTTGGCAGGCCAGCAGGGGTGGCTCTGGCGGAGACAGGCAAGCGGAATACGCAGCGGTGGCGGAGTAGCCGCTCCGCGAGGCCCCCTGACGGCCCGTCCTCTCCGCAGCCCCGCTCAAAGGCATCCCGAAGCAGGCGCCCTTCCGAAGCCCCACCGCCCCCAGCGTCTTCAGCCCCGCGGGGAACCGCACTGCCATCCCGCCGTCGAGGACGCCCCTGCGGAAGGAGAGGGGCGTGAAGGTGGGCGTGTCCCCTGGCAGCCCCGCCCATGCGGGACCAGCCGCGCTCCTTCCGTGGGGCTGAGGGTGGGCTTCTGTCTGTGTCGGCAGCTCCTCGACATCTCCGAGCTGGATATGGTCGGGGCCGGCCGGGAGGCCAAGAGGAGGAGGAAGACCCTGGGTGCGTATTGGGGCCCGTCCGCCCGCGGAGGCCCTGGTCTCTCGTCTGCCGAGACGGAGACCGCCTCCGGCTGGAGAGGGGCAAGCCTGCGGGGCAGACCTGTCCTCAGAGTCGCCGCCGCCTCGGGCCGGGAGGGCCGCCGCCCGGGGCGCTGAGGCCTGTGCTCTGCCCGCAGACGCGGAGGCAGTGGAGAAGCCAGCCAAGGAAGAGACGGTCGTGGAGAACGCCACCCCCGACTACGCGGCCGGCCTGGTGTCCACACAGGTAAGGGCTGCAGGGCCGCGGGCGGCCGGAGCACATGCCCCCATTCCCAGCGTTAGCCGCGGAGGCACGTTCCGTGGGAGCACATGCGCGGATGCACACGTATGTACGTGGACACACGCAGAAGAGGTGGCGCCGGCGGGGCGCTGGCGTGCCCGCGGGCCCAGGTTTGGACAGCGCCACGTGCTCAGGGCTACTCGGCGTCCCCCGTCCCGCAGGGTGGTAGGGCGGCCTTGCGGGAGGCCCCTCGCTGCCGGTGCGGCCTGCCTGGAGGGGCTGGGCAGCCAGGCGCCCTGTGTCTGTCATTTCTGGGTGGTGGGAAACTTCTCATTGCAGAGCTGTGTTTTCTTACTTTATTGAAAGGAGTGTCTTCCTTTTCTCATATGCTTTTGTGGTTTAAAAAAAAAAAAAATTTCTTCTTACCTCAAAGATGGCTGGTTTGGGAGGGTCCCTAACCAAACAGGGACAGCCTCGCCCCACCCTGCGCCCTCCCAACAAGGCAGCTCCAGGATGGGGGCGGCGGCAGGGCCGGACGCTTGGGGTCCAGCACTGCTGAGCGCGGGGCCCCTGGCCTGGAGCAGTCTCTATCCCTGGGGACAGCAGTGCCCCCAGTCCTGCTCCCGGGGGTGGGGGCCCTCCTGTGGGGCTGGAGGTTCGGGTTCACACTGGGCCGGGACGCTGAGGCCCACAGAGGAGCCGGCCCCATCCAGGACTGGGAGAGGCTCACGCTGAGCCCCCGGGCTGCTTTTGAGAGGAACCATGGTCTCTGTCTTCTAGAAACTCGGGTCTCTGAACAACGAGCCTGCGCTGCCATCCACGAGCTACCTGCCGGCTACGCCCAGTGTGGTCCCTGCCTCATCCTACATCCCCAGCTCCGAGGCCCCGCCAGGTGAGCGGGCACCCAGAGCAGGCAGCACCCACCAGGCAGGGAGCAGCATCTTCCCAGGACTCGCCCACGTGGTGCTTCCTTGGGTGTCAGGACCTCTGCTGGTGCCGCCGGGGCCGGAAGACCCTCCTGCCCAGCACGAGCTTCGAGAAGTAAACCCAGGGGTTTCAGCTGCTTTGCCCTTCACGGGGCCAGACAGGCAGCGCCCCTTCCCTTGTGCGGTGCCAGGTGTGAGGCCCAGTTTGTGAGCGGGAGGGGGGCTGCTGAGGTTACAGTGCCTCAGGGTCCTCATGTAGCCCTACAGTTTGAGAAAGAAGGCGCGGAAGGAAAGGTGGAGGGGGATCCGTGGGTTCTGCCCTGAGGCGTTTGCTCCCCGGGCTCAGCGTCGCCTGCCCGGGGGGGAGCTTGGCCTCGGGGAGGGGGTGGCCAGAGAGGGCCTGGGGGTCAGGCAGGCTTGCTGGGCTCCAGGAAGCAGCCCTCCGTCCCCTCGCCAGCGCCCAGGAGCCCATTAGCGCCTGGACGTCTTCCCTGCTGGTCTCAGAAGGCCTGAGCCCTCTGGCTCCCTGCTGGGGCTCTCGGGGGCGTGGGCCCCGTGCCCAGAGGTGCCGCCCGGGGCTCGCACCCCAGCTGCGGGTAGGAGGGCCCAGGCACTTCTCTCGGAGGCGGGGTCCCTGGCCCTGCCGGCCGCCCCCCAGGCCTTGCTCTGCTTGCAGCCCCGCCTGCCCGGGAAGCCAGCCTGCAGGCCAGCCGGCCCCCCGAGGAGCCCAGCGCCCCCAGCCCCGCGCTGCCGGCACAGTTCAAGCAGAGGGCGCCCCTGTACAACAGCGGCCTCAGCCCTGCAGCGCCCACACCCGCGGCGCCCACCTCGCCCCTGACGCCCACCACGCCCCCAGCCGTCGCCCCCGCCACCCAGACGCCTCCGGTGGCCATGGTGGCCCCCCAGGCCCAGGCCCAGCCCCCCGCCCAGCAGCAGCCCAAGAAGAACCTGTCGCTCACGGTAGGTGTGTGGGGCGGGGTGTGTGTGTGCGGCCCCGCCCACAGCAGGGGCGCCGGGGCCCAGCACCCAGCCCTGCTCCTCCACTGCAGAGAGAGCAGATGTTTGCCGCGCAGGAGATGTTCAAGACGGCCAACAAGGTCACACGGCCCGAGAAGGCCCTCATCCTGGGCTTCATGGCTGGCTCCCGAGGTGGGTCTGCGGCCGGCCCTGGGGGGTGGGGGGGCCCGGGTCCTGCGGGGGTGGGGGACGCCCCCGCGCCCCCAGGCCCCTGCCCAGCGGCCCCTGCCCCCCTCAGAGAACCCGTGCCAGGAGCAGGGCGACGTGATCCAGATCAAGCTGAGCGAGCACACGGAGGACCTGCCCAAGTCGGACGGCCAGGGCAGCACCACCATGCTGGTGGACACGGTCTTCGAGATGAACTACGCCACGGGCCAGTGGACGCGCTTCAAGAAGTACAAGCCCATGGCCAACGCGTCCTAGGGCCGCCGCCGTGCCACCGAGGCCCAGCCCGCTTGAGCTTTGGGTTCAGTTTCTCTGGGGTGTTTTGGACTTATTTTCTAAATTTTAATATGAGTCCCTTTTGTGTGATTTAAGACACTTTTTTGCATTCAGTGTTACAGTTCTGAATGTTAAACTTAGCCCCGAAAGGTGTAACTTCCTAATCTTGGCACCAGCTCTGCCTGTTAGACTTCCGTCTTTTCTCAGTTTTTCTTCAGTCCCACTGACCGCGAGAGAGGGCCTTTCTTGCTCGTGCAGCCCCTCTCCCCGCCCATGCGGCTGAGGGACCAAAGGTGGCGCCTGGTGTGTCTGAGAACGGGGCGGGGACGGCCGCCAGTGCCCAGGGATGGGGGATGCCAGGACACGCTCACCACCCACAGGTTTTGTATTTGTCTTTTGTACCGTTGTGAGCATTTAAGACCAGTCCTTGGGTACCTGTTTTCATTGTAAAAACTCCCTAATTAAAGTTTAGCTTTTCTAAAGAAAAAGCACCAGAGCTGTGTTTGCAGCCAGCTCGACCTCTCTGCTCTGGGGCCCCAGCCCCTCTCTGGGGTGGGTGACGTTGGGGTCAGCCCGGGGGTCACTCCTGGATGGTGCGGGCGTGGGGAGCACGTCAAAGGGGCCTGGGGCTCAACCACCTGCGGGGCTGAGAAGAGTCTGCAGCTTCCTCTCCCGACTCTGTCACCTTTAACGGGGGTTTGGGAACCAAATTATAACAGGAACAAAAGCCTTTTCCCCAAATCGGAACGACACGCACTATCTACGATACTTGATATACGTCCAAGGCCACGTTGGCCTCTCCCCAGATGTCAGGGGACTGTGCCAGATGCTTCAGAGTGACGACTCAAAGTGACTGGCAGCGGGACTCGCCTGGTGCTTCCACCGCAGGGGGCGTAGGTTCCGTCCCTGGTCGGGGAACTAAGATCCCGCATGCGGCACAGCGCGACCAAAAAAAAAAAGAAAGAAAAGGGACCGGGGGAATGGAAGAGAGACCCAAACTTCAAAATGCAATTCCACATAAAGAAAAAAGCCTTTAAATTTTTTAATACAAAAATACTCATACACAATCTTCCAAACACAACTTCCGACCTTAAATCCTATTTCCCCGCAACCAGCAATTCTCAAATCTACATTTCAGTATCTTCCCCCAGAAGTGAATTTCAAGTTTTTTAAGTCTGTCAAAATTGGCGGTAGCACCTGGTACACCCCCCCCCAAAGGCGGAGCCTGGCCGCGTTCCCTGCGACGCTGAGACACCAGTAGGCACGTTGAGGTTTCTGTTTAATTTCACATCTCAACAGGGTGCGGTGGACACGACGCCTGCGGACACAGCACTTTACTCACTCATCAAACGCTCCACATCTCACAGGATCGAGAGTTCGGCAACTGACAGTCGTCTGTGTTACCTTTCGTAAAAACGGGCTTATCTTTTCTTATTCCTGGACATACGGCAGTTCTAGAAGATGGCGCCGCACACACTGCAGTTTATGTGTCAAGGGAAACACTGGGAAGGCGCCGGGGCGCAGACCTGAGGGTGAGGCAGGGGGTCCCGAGCATTCTCGGAGGACGGGACCCGGGCGGGGGCGCCAGGCGGCCTCCCCGTGGTGCTCGCAGCTTATCACCCGCTTTGGACATGCGCCCACGACCCCCAACGGAGAGAAGCGTCCCCGTGTCCAGAGGCCCGCGCTGGCGTCGACACGACACACGAGGGGTCCTGGTCAGCTCCTGATGCTGAGGAATCCTGAGGTGTTTGGGCGGTTTTCATTGTGTTTCTGCTTCACATTAACGACGAAGGGCTGAAGCTGACGTTCAGGAAAGACCGACTCCCCCGAAGCAAGCTCCCCTCAGACTCGGAGCAAAGGCCTCGGCCCCGTCGGGAGGGCCCCTGCAGCCCCACTGCTCCTGCAATGCCTTGTGCTCAGATCCATAAACTGGTTTTCTGGAGATTCTCAGAGTTAGTGTTATTTGCTCATTAGTTTAACAGTTTTTGGAAAGAGGGCAACCATATCTAAAATAAGTTTTCCAGTATTTCCTTCAGAAAGGTTATAAAAGAATTTGGAAGTAATATCAAAGTGACTCAAAAATCACACAAAATTTTTACTACTGTCAAATACAAAAATAAGTTAATCTGCTCCCCAAAGTGCACTGCAAAACCAATTCTGATGTTCTGACTTAGGCAGAAGTCCCTCACCGGCAGGAAAGGGCGAGTGACGTCAGCCCACACCGAGGCCCCTGGCTCTGAAGGGCGGGGCTGCGCCCGCGGCCGCTGCGCTGGCACCAGGCCTCGGCGCCCCTCGTGCCCAGCCCCAGAGCGCGCAGGCGCCAGGTTCAGGGCCTAAGGAGCATGAATCTACGTCAATCCAGTATTTTCTTAAAAGACCATTTGAGAGAAACGAAGAGTTCTGAACCCCACGGCCCCTGCGTCTCACCGAGCAGGCGCGTTTCCAGAGAACCGAGCCGCCCGTGGAAGCACCAGCTGAGGACACGGCTTGTTTTTCCTTTGGTCCTACGTCACTTGCCCCAGGGTCACCAGAGAAGGGCCAGCAGGACGGCCTCGGTCAGCCGACTCTCCTAGTCCGTGCCTGGGGAGGCCCGGGCGCCTCGCACCTGGAGCAGGTGCTTCCCCAGGGGTCCCGGCCTGGCCGAGACCGCCCCCTCCCCCCACAGCTCCCGTCGCAGGACCCCGGAGCAGTAGTGAACTTGGGTCCAAGTGTTGGTATATCCTGCAATTCTCCGAGGCGAAAACGGTAAGAGAGACCAACAGGAGACCTCCGTGGCAGTTTTCAAGAACAGTTGTGTAAACTTTTCTGCAGAGGAGATGTTCTCCTCAGGTTATTTTAAGAAGAGGAGGCTAGAAAAAAGCACCTGCTGCTGAGCGCCCCCTTCCCTCCCACCGCGAGTGGAGACAGGCAGGCACACGGGCTCCTGGCAGGGCGCTCCCAGCGTCCCGGGGTCCATGGGAACGCTGTGCTTCGCAGAAGCTTCTCCCTGCGTGGGGCTAACGGTCCATGGAAATCTCCCAGGGGACAGTGTCGGCCGGGCTGTTCCAAGGCTGGGTGCCCACGCCCGGCAGGCCGGCCCGAGTCCCAGGACAAGCGCTCCTCCGAGGGGCCCTGGCCGAGGGCGTCTGCCCAGCGCGGCTCAGGCTTCCCGGGAACAGGCCCACAGCACGCGTGCAGTCACTTGGGGTGACGATGCGCCTGAACTCGCTCTTTCCTCAGCCCGGGAGGAGCGCCTGGACGCACACGTCCCCCGCGAGCTCCGCGTCCCGGGGTGTGTGTGGGAGGGGCACCCAGCAGTGCCCTGCTGCGCGACCGTCACCCGAGACGCCACCGGGCAGAGCGCCGGACAAACCGTTTCCCTAAGTGGCCGCGTCACACAGCTCAGCGGGTCACACACGCATCAGTAAACACGCATTTCAGTCGGTGGTAATTTGTGAAACAAGTTTAGCAAAAATATATTGAGAATAAAAGCCAGAAACTGGTAAAGAAAAGCCACCCGAAAAAATGTACAAACTCTTCCCCCAAGTGATGAGACCCTCCGGGGAGGCTGCCCCACGTGAGCCTGTGCTTTAAAGGCCGACGTGGCAGCAGCACTTGGTTCAAGTCCACGGAGAGAAACACGACAGGGGAGATCCCACAACACCACTACGCTAGTCACCGTCCTGGGGCCGGCTCCTCACTAGGATGGAAAAGAAGCATTCTGAGGAAAAACTTCACATTAGTACAAAAAAGAAATCATACAGCTGTTTCATAAGAGCAGAATCATGGTTCCCAGGGCACCCGGGGTCTTGAGTCCTTGCCCAGGCCCCACCCTGGTCTCCTCTCCTGAGTGATGGCAACGGGGAAGCAGGCTGGGTGACGTTGTCAAGATTAAAAGAGGTAAGAGTGATCCTCCGAAAAAATACTACTCTCTACATCTCAGGGGAGATAAAAGCATTTCGTATGCCAATTACTTTTCCGTTGTAACTTTAACCTAGCAAAGTAGAGCGGGAGGGCACCTTGACGTTCTGAGATTCAAGTGTAGCTGTAATGCTGTGTAGTCAGGCTTGTCTGTCCTGGGGCGTCCGCACCTCGCGGCTGGAACCACGCGGCTTGGACGGTCAGTGCGGCGCAGCGGGCGCTGCTGGGATGGCTCAGTGACGGGAGGCGCCCCCTCCCGAGGAGGCCTGTGCGTGCGTCCCGGGGGCTGCGGGCGGCGTCCTCCGGCCCTCTGCGCACAGGGCGGGCCGGCCACGCGGGGCCCCCGATCTCACCCCGCCCCGGCCTGGCGCTATTTGCCCTCCGTGACCCTCCGCCAGCACCTCCTCTTCTTCCTCCTCCCCTTGGACTTGGGTTCCGGGCAGGGCTGCTCGGCCGGCTCTGCCCGCAAGTCGTGCTCGCCGCAGTATGGCCGCCCGTCCTGGGTGGAGCTGAAGGCTGCCCCGTCCTGGTGTTCCTTGCAAAACGAATTGGGGCAAAAGTGGCAAAATGAAGTGGAAGGTTTCCCACACACGTCACAGTGATGCCAAGGACATTCCCACTTCCCTGCAACGAAACAAAGTATCACCAGACAGAAGAGAGGAATGGCAACTTGTAACACTGTAACATTTCCATGGTTGAAAACTAACTTTAAAACTCAGTCTAAAAAAAAAAAAACAAAAAAAAACTCAGTCTAGTCAGATGAACACAAACTAAACCAAGACACCGCTTTCCAGGCAAGTGTCGAAAGGTAAAGAGAAGCTAAAGCTGGTGCTCAGAGGCCTGGGGCCGGAGGGCAGCGAGCAGGCCCCACCTCCGAGCCCAGATGGCCCAGCGGCACCGGGGGCCCTGCCGCCCCGGCTGCTGTCCGGCGATGGGTGTGCAGCCGGGCCGAGTGTTTCGGGGGCCCCGATCTCTCTGGGGTCCGCCTGCAAAGGCTCTTAGCGCGGTCTGGGGAGACCGGCACGCCCACCGTGAGCCTCTCTGCCGCCCGCCTGCTGGCCCTGCTGCATCATCTCGTGCCACACACAGTGTTTGTTTCACAGTCAAACACATTTGACGTCTCCTTTTCTAGCTTTGCCGCTTGTGTCTCCGGGTGAGGGCCTCTCGGCTTCCCTCCCGAGGTGACATGGCCGCTCTGTGCACGCCGGAGCCCATCATCTCTCTGAAGGGCAGACTCCAGCCCCAGCCCCAGCCCCAGCCCCTCCCCGTCTTCCCAGCTGAGACCCAGGGGTGCGGGGCCCCTCGCTCCCAAGCAGCTCCTCCCGGCACCTTCCCCCAGCCCCTGCCGGCCCCCAAGGGCTGCGCCGGGTGGTCTGGCCTCGGCTGCCCGGGCTGGGGACCCACCGAAGGGCCGCTTGCCCAGGCCCAGGCAGGGCAGGTGGTAGGCCTTGGTACAGGACTTGCGGTCGCACAGCACCAGCTGCCCGCCGTCACCGCAGCGGAAGCACTCGTCCTCAGACGGCTTCTTCCCTTCGCCTTTCGTTCGACGCCTCCTGGTTTTTTTCTTGGTCTTTTTGCCCTTTTCCTCCGAGGAAA